ATATATATATATATATATATATATATATATATATATATATATATATATATTAGTATAAGTGCTGTGCTATAATGTGTTGTCATCATTGTATGTTTCTATACAATGACAAAATTAGTTCTATGCATTTAACCCACCACACCTGAGATGCACACAGGTAGAGCAGTGGGCAGCTATGCAAGCACCCAGGGAACAATTAGGGATTGGGTGTCTTGCTCAGAGACACCACGGTATGTGGGCATGGCGGTGAGTTAAACTGCCACTTTCTGGACCCAAGTCGGCTGCTCTACCTCCACACACCATCTCGGCCCCATATAAGCTTATACTCATCCTTTGTCTCACCATCTTTCGTTGTTTCAGAACTGAAGCTATGAGATCCTGTTTCACAGATTCTGCATTGTTGCATTTTTGTAAATAAAGAGTCTGAACAGTATGAATGCAGGACTCTGTCCTGCCCACTCCTCTGTAGACTAAAGTATTTTGGCGTGAAATCTGAGGCTTTCTGTCAGACAAGTGAAGCTTGGGCCAATGTGTGTCATTATCCAACAAAGCAATGATCCTAAACAGCTGCAAATCTACAAAAGGACTGATAAAGGAAATATTAATCCAATCAAATTTCAGATTTCAATAATTAAAATGCTATGAAGGAACCTTAAAAGTACTCTGCAGAAACAAGTCATCAAAAACCTAAAAAATACTGAGTCAGTGTAAATGAGTAGCGAACTTGATTAGTAGAAGTAATAGTAGTGGTCCTTCACAATAATGTGAGAGGCTGACCAAGTCCTACAGCGCAACAACTTCATGTTGTTGCTGCTACAGCCCGTCCTACAAGCAGTTCAGTCACAGGGTATCCATCGATTTTTCATGCAACTTTTCAATGTTGGGATCATTTTTGTCCATGTGGGATTTGATCTGACAAATAGAACCTGGTGAAGACCAAATCATTTTAGATTAATTCTGACATTGAGTCCTAGTTCTGAAAGAGGGTGTAGTCTTTTTTTCCCACTATTTTCCCAAATAAACCAGTTTTCATGTTTGACCAGAGTCCAAGAGTGTTTCCATGAAAAATAAATAAATAAATAAATTAAAAAAAAATCTCCATACTTTGGAATAAAACCTGCAAATTACAGCACATTTGACCAATATGACACAAAACATGACATGATTTCCCCCC